TATATATGTGTGTCTTTTGAGATCTATTTTCAAATTTTCTTGGTAAAGTAAGTTGGTAGTATTCGTTGACAGTAATAGCATCTGGTGTCTTACATGGAAACAATTCAACCCATTTTGTTAAAGCGTCTATGATTACCAAACAGCATTCATATCCTTTATCCTTATTCAATTGTATGAAATCCATGTGAATAACCTGAAATGGATATTCAGGAACTGGAAATTTCCCCCGTCTTGTTCGCACCTGGCCCTGTGCATTATTCTTGATGCAAATCAAACATTGCCTACAAAATTTTTCCCTACTGTTGACACATGGCACAGCCCATGTGTCATAACTGCAGCCCATTTGAATAATGACTTAGACTCCATTTGTCCCTATAAAATTGCCCTTTTCTAGTTTTGCTCCTTTAGAGGCTGTGAATTTAGATGTGGGGGTGAATTTATTACTGGGAAGCCTTCTACAGCCTGTGGTATTTGATTCTGCTCCATCTTTAACTGCACTTCTGTTGCAAGCTGAGTGCGTCGCACAGGAACATAATTATCATCATCTTTTTACCAATTCAGTGCAATTTTGGGTTTCTTTTTGTTAGCACCTTCTAGTCTTTTCTTTGCTTGTTCCAACCACTTTTTTTGCCATCATTTGTTCATCATTTTCCTCCTTCCTTCCCTTTACTCTCACATTTAGAGTTAATTTGAAGACTAAATATTCACATGATTTTACTTGTAATTTTCCTTCAAACTTGTGCTTCTTTTTCCATTTAGTTAAATTTTTTGCCGACCCCAAATGAGATCTGTCCATGTATTTATTCCCTTCTAATTCTTCCTCTTTCTTCCCCCCACAGTAACAACTATGACAATTTCCTATTGTCTATATGAACTATGCAGTTAGTGAGAGAACAAGTATAGGAAGAATGCCTCTATTGGGCTTCAGTTATTCAGCCACCACTGTTGTCATCTAACTGCCACAGATAGAATGACCTGAAAAGAACCACACCTGACAATGTTGTACTTTTTACTCGCTGTGAGGGGGAGCAGAGAGACCAACAGTTTCGCAGCGTTAGCTCACCTAAGTCCCAAAGTGTATGAGGACTGCAGCTCCTTTTATTGAGAAAGTTACATAAGTACTGGGCAGTTGGTTTTTCATTACGTATATACTCTTTGGGCAAAGTTCACACGATTCACATAAATGATGAGGAACAGACTTAATCCTTTGTGGAGCACATCGTAAAACATTTCTAGGAGTACGTATAGGATATTTCCTGTGCAGAACAAGATCTCCTAAAAAAGGGAGTTCGTGAAAGACATTTTTTGTGCAGAGCAAAGTCTTCAACAAAGGAGTACCTTAAACATCCCCCCTTCAACTCCACCCTTATCAAGAAAATACTTTATTTTCTCAATAAAGAGGCATGTAGCCATTTCAGTGAAATGGTTGGATCTGAAACCAAACTACATGACATGGAGGGAGGGGGAGCTGCTGTTTGAATGATGGACGACCTGCTGTGCCACTCATTTTTCTGCGATTTTGGAAATGGCTGGAAGAATGCTTATAGGGCGGTAGTTATGCAGAGAAGTTGAGTCACCGGATTTAAACACAAGGAGTAACAAAAGCTGATTTCCAGTCCTTTGGAAAGTGACCCGATGAAATTAAAAGATTAATGATTGAGGCAATAGAAGTGGTGAGAGCTGAACCTAGGTCTTTGAGGATGTTCGTGTCCATTCCAAAAACATCCTTTGCTTTAGATGGTTTGAGTGATTTAATTAAATCGATAACTATGGTCTCAGTAATATTTGTAATAGTAGATGACTGTGATTGTGGGTAATGCAGGGTATTCCCTCCCTTTGTTTAACAATAAATGTATTAGAAATTTTGGACACAGACTCAATGAAGTAGTTGTTTAAAGCATCAGCAATCACTCGAAATTCCATCAGGATGTTTCCATTTAATTGAATTTGCATTAGTTTTGTTTTGCTTTTTTGGGAATCACCCAACAGTTTTTTAATATAATTCCAGGTTATTTTTGTTGTATATTGTTGGCTATATTTGAACAATCAACATCTAGATTTTTGCCAGAGAGCAATTCGTCCCAGTTTAGTTCTTCGATTGAATCTTGGAAGTTTTGTTGTTCCTGTTTTGGTATCCTATAGAACTCAGTGGCGGCCAAGGATTTGAAGCGCTTTTTATTTAATTATAAGATTATGATCAGACATTCCTGTAAGCAAATTGTATGATTTCAAGATCCTTTCTGACCTATTAGTACAATCTAGATCAATCTAAGTGCAGGTGGAGTTTGTAATTCTCGTAGGGGCATTAATTAATTGAGTCATATCCATATCATCCATAACCTTTTTAAATTTTTTGTTAACTTCCCAATTAACATTTAGGTTGCCCATTATTATCACCTCTTTTTGCAAGATTGTGTTGTTTCAATAAAATGTTCTGAATTTCCAGTGTTTTAATATTATGGGATTTGGCAACCTCCTGTTTCTTTTATTGACATCTACCATTGGCCAGTTAACAGAGGCGGAGGACTAGCTGGCAGAGGTGGGGGCCCAGCCAAGAGTGGAGTTGGCCCCAGTAGCAGTGGTGGAGATCAAACTAGCAGGGGTAAAAGTCCAGCTAGCAGATGTGAAAGCCCAGCTAGTTAAGGTCTAGCTGTAGTTAATGTAGTTAGGGTTAAGGTCTAGCTAGTACTAATGAAGGCCCAGCTAGCAGAGGAGGAGATCTAGCTAGCACAGGTGAAGGTCCAGCTAGCAGTGGTGTTGGCCCAGGTAGCAGAGGTGATGGCCCAGCTGGCAGGGGTTAAGGTCTAGCTAGCAGTAATGAAGGCTCAGCTAGCACTGGCCCAGGGTTTAATTTAAAACATCATCAGCCAAAATAAGTATCAACAAGAGATTAAAAACACCCAGGAGTGGTTTGGTTGTAACAGCCTTTTCCTGCTCACCTGGGGGTGGCCTTGCATGGCCATAGTCCAGTATCCTTGTGAACAACATGTGCTGACTCCATCTGCGTGAATGCATGTCATGAGCGACCAACGGATCCTCACTGAAACCTGGTTCGCAGACAACGTCTTGGAACAACCTTTTAGAAAAACCAACACGACGTTTAAAAAATGTAGAGGGCATTAGAATTTGAACTTGTTTCGTGAGCAGACGGCAGGATCGATTTGTGACGTGTGTGATAATTGGTCAGTGTCAGGGGATTTGACCGCAGCACTCGCACAACCCTTAACATAATAATTGTTGAAAGAAAAATAACTACGTTCTGCGTCAATTAAGCTCTAACACAGCAAACAAAAAGATCAATAACGGTTGCAGCTTCTAAAAGATTAACACAAAGGTGTTGAAAAGTGAAGTCTAAACAATCTTCTGTCAATGTGTTAAATCTGGGATGGACCAGATCTGTTCCAACTGACGTTTCACAGACACGCCGTAATCAGTCTTGGCAGAAGTTGCTGTTTTTCAGTCAACACACAAAGACAGAGATGACGGTAACACAACCACAAAGGGTAGACGTGTTCATACACAACAGAAAAAAGCTGTGAGCTTAAAGGAAATGAATGGAAGGTCTATGTTTTTGTTTTATTCAACAGCTTGATTTACAACCACTGACTTTTAAATTAGACACCCACAAGGCAGCAGCAGCGGCATTATTTATAAGGTAACATTTGTGCGCAGGTTCACTTTAGGTGACCAGGTCTTAATCAATGGGTCAAAGGTAATATTACATTGGAGATGGACCATTTAGACATTTAGAGTTCCAAAATAGTACCAAAGATGGACTGACTCACTGACAATATTGACAATATTCAATTTGCTGGTCCAAATAACTGCTATTTGATATTTACTGTAAATAATTGTCTGCACAACTGTGTCAGGCAGAACATTTATTATTTTTCAACTTGATGGCAGCAAGTGTTATTGAAAGAAAAAGGTAAAAAAAGAGACAGTGTTGTGGATGAACATCTTTTTTCTTCAATTCCTGCATTTATATTAGTGTTGTGTTTAACTAAACAAGCACAGTTACTACTTACTAGTTTTTTGTGAAGTAAATCAAAACTAGTAAGTACAGCCTTATATATCTTTATACATACTTTTTGAACATCAGTCTGTGGTGCAAAAGAAAAGTTGGTGAACATACATAATGCAAAGTTCTGTTTGGAATTTGCATGATCTGTGTCACATCCATAAAATATAATTTAAATTTTGGAACGTTTATCTAACGTAACTGAGGGAAACAGAGGTAGATGAAACAGTGAGTTTTACAGAATGTGTTCTTGTTGCAAAGTGTTAGTAATGAGGGCAGTGGTGGCTTAGTGGTTAAGGAAGCGGACTTGGGTCCAGAAGGCTTCAGGTTCTAGTCCACCAGCTGCCAAGTTACCACTGAGGTGCTCTCAGCATGGCACTGTTTTACACAAACTGCTCCCCTTAAAGCTGCCCACTGTTCACTTTGGTGATGGGTTAAAAGCAGAGGTCACATTTGGTTGTGTTCAGTGGTGAGCTGTGTCACAGTGACAAGGAGGTCACTTCCCTACTTTATGATATTTTGAGCATTAATCCAAATAATAATAAGAAAGATATGATTGGAAAACAAAGCAAATTTCCAGTACAGTGTAAGACAAAGTGTAGTCGGTTAAAGTGTTATTCATACCAAAACAGAAAGTTAGAGAAACACATGACTACTGAGTAATATCAAGTGATTTCGTCAGTTGAACCTTTTTTGCCTAGTAAAAACGAAACAGAAAACAAAGAAGGACATGGGAGTTTTTTCCCCCCATTTACGTCTTTCATTCAAACCTTTACTAAACAAGAAACAACACACAGACATGTTGACTTTGTTATACATGTTCATGATGGGGTTGTTTTTGTTAGAAATCCCTGGCATATTTACAGAGATTAAAGCTGCAGCTCTGAGGTGAGGCTCTGGGGCGTTACTTTGTTCCATGTGCGTGGTCTAAATACATTGATACCTATGGCAGGAGAAAAAAAAGAGAAAATTCTAATCCTTTCATGTACATTTTTATTATTTTTAGAAGCCAACAGTTGAGCTAACAGAAGTGAATTCTTTACACGACATTAGCACAGCAGAAGTGGTGATGAGAAAACACAGTCTGATGCAGCATTTTATTAACGGACGGTTTGATTGTCAGTAAGATAAATTCACTGTTAGGCTGCCAAGTCCTGAGGAGCAGAAGAGCTTTTCCTGTTCCCAGTGTCAGTACTCCGCCTGTCCTCTGTTCACGTGCAGCAGGCGGAGCAGCAGCTCCACAGGAGAACTTCCAGCGTGGCCTGGATCTGAGGCTTCGGCATCACCGACACAGTCATTGTCTACAGTGCAGCTCTCTGGAGACAGGAAATGCATTTTACTAAGACCGCAAACATGCACGTGCTTTAAACCCATCCATCAACAGTGACGGAGACTGTACCTGAATCACAGCAGAGACCTGAGACAGCACAGCGTCCTCCCTCAGATCCACAGGGTCTCCCTCCTGCCTGGCAGGGGCTGAGCAGGTAGTTCTCCTCCATGCAGTGAGCTGTTTCAGTAGAGCCCAGTATACAGCCAAAGCTCTCTCCGCAGCAGATACTGGGGCCAAAGCAGTGCCCCCTGTCTCCAGGGCCACAAGACATGCACTGGAAAGAACATAGACATAATTAGAGGTAGGTAGGGTAGATTGTATTTTTGTTTAAATGTCTTTGATTGGTTACACTGATGTTACAGTGTTGTTGTGTAACATCACTTTAGAGTAGGTTGCTAAACCAGATAACAACGTCAGGATGTCCAGTTCTGATCCAAGATACGTCATCCTGACTCTAAGTTTTGACTGAATCCTAGTTTTGTAGAATTTTGTGGGGGTTTTTTTACTCCCCAGGTTTTGTCTCACAGGTAGCTTAGGAACCACAGCACATGTTTGATTACAGTGGACAACATGTAAAACAAGAAATCACTCAGTATATAACTATAACTGTTATGACATAAACTGGCACTGAATAATATGCTTGTAAAAATTTTTTTAGAATAACTGGACGAACAAATTGAATTGACTGATCTATCAAATGTAGAATTATGTCATTTTCTACATTCTAAATTGACCTTAATTTCATTATATCCTACTGCCAATTAATTGCCTTTCTCTACACTAAAAAATATTTATAATTCGTTTATAATTCATTTTGTGGTTGTATTTTTAAATTCTGGTAAAAACACATTCACAGCCCTGAGCTAAAAGGTAACCGAGCTGTGTTTTAATTATAACACTCTTTGATTTCCAGCACCTTCATTTAATTTAATGTCTATGCAGAATACAAAATAAAAGATGGAAAATCCAAAAAATAGTTACGTCGAAAGCACCTGGACAAAGTAGGTGTTTTTTTTTTTTTTGAAGACAGAAAAAGACAGAACTGAAGAAGCCTCTTGGATGAGAGCCGAAACGTCTTAAAAAAACAAAACAACCCTACTTTGTCCAGTTGCTTTCGATGTAACTATTTTTTGGATTAAATAACCTGGATGACTGAGAACCTACACAGACAAGATGAAAAAAGTAATATTTTTACTGTTACTGGTCAAGACATTACCTATAATACTCTAAACCGAAGCAATACACGGCTGTCTCGAGGCCATGTAATAAACTTCACATCACCTCAGAGAGGATGCTGCTGCTGAAGTTCTCCGCTCACCTGTCTGACTCCAGTCTCCGTCAGCGCTCTTTTGCCTCCTCTGGGGCAGTTCTGGATGTAGCAGGCGGAGGAGACGGTGAGCAATCCCAGGAGGCACAGCGGGAGCAGAGAGTAAGGCATTGCTGCTGGAACTGATGTGTGTGTGCGTGAGTAAGAGTGTGTGTGTGTGAGTTTCCTCAGCTTGAGTCGGTGCCTGGATGTGTGACCGAGGCTCAGTTCCTCTCCTCACTTATAAACGCCTCGGCCATGGATCCGACAATGCGGCTGACACGCGTGTTCGTCTGACGTCACCGTCGTCCCGTATTGTTCAGAACACACACACACGGACACACACACACACACCAAAGGCCACCGGTGAGCGGGAGGTCGCAGCAGTTATGGTCGTGCATCAGAAGTGTACCATCTAACGACGGTACACAAGATTCCAGCTCTGTATTCAGGTCTGAGAAAAACCACATACATAAAATACAAAAAGCACTCCTTCCACGCGATATAAACAGCAATATGACGTCACATAAACATTTAATTGGAGTTCAATTGATAACTACTTAGACTGATGGCCCCCTTGCTCTGAAGACCACCTCACGTCAATTATCACTTCATTCACTCCATTAGAACTAAATGAGTAAAACACGATTAGCATTTAAAAAACAACATAAACGGCTCCACTGTCTGCATGTTTAGGCTTTAATTTCGTCGATTAGCTGCTGTGATGCTGATTAACGAGTGGCTAATAGACAACAAAAAGGAACACAGGGAGCAGTAGGTCGAGGTATGATTATTCAATTTAATTTTTTTTTTTAAAATTTAAGACACATTTTCAAAGATGCGTAAAATGTTGATATGCAATGAATTATTGTACTATTGATGTTTTTGCTTGTCTTTTTGAGGATACCTGAAACCTTAGAGAAACTTTGAAGAATGAAAATAATCGTGACTTTTTCACAACAATGACTTGAACATGTTTGAAAACAACAGTTTCTGTCTTTAAAAGACCAAACCAAATGTTAATGATTGGCTGCACAGAGGCCTGAGTTTAATGACTCTAATAACGATAGAACGAAGATGGACATCGAGTCTGGAGAAACATCGATTTTTAGCAAATTATTACATAGTTAGGATACTTCAGGAGACCTTTTTTTAAAAGAAATGATTCTGAAAAAAAGTTATGCAAGTGACTGATCATTTACCTGCGAATATTTGATACTCCAAAGTAGAAAGAAAACAACAAAAGGCCATCAGTGAACAAGATTAGACTGTTCAGACTAGCTTGTTCTGTTGTATCTAAGCACACCATATCACAGCAGAAATATATTTACACTGTAAATATACTATTTAACAGTATGAATACATAAACATATGATAAACAATTTCTGAATAAATATATACAGTATACAGTATATTGTATATGTAAGGACACTATCTAATAGTATAAATATATATTAAGCCTATAAATATACTATTTAACAGTATGAGTATATAAATATATGGTGAAAAAACATTTTCATTATATACATAAATATATATATATACATGCATACATATATATATGTATATATATATATATATATACATACATAACATACTGTTAAACAGTGCACTGTATTTTCCACACTATAAGGCACACTTAAAAACCTGTAATTTTTTGCAAAATCGACAGTGCGCCTTATAACCCGGTGTTGTACTTCTGGTTGCACTTACTGAGCTTGAATCAAATTTATAAAGTCAAACCACACAGTGCATCACACATGATGGCACACAACTGAAGCAAACTGGGAGCCAACAATGATGTTTACCTCTGTTATCACAATTAAAAGATGCTCAACAATAATTGTGTTTTTGTATTGTCGGTGTATGGTGCGATGCAGGACGACTCAGACGCATGGCTGTCAATGTTTTCGTGGTCAAAAACTCTTTTTATTTTCCCTTTTTTATCGATACAGGAAAAACACTCTCTCAGTAAAAGCCTTTGTGCAGATGGTTTATGAAGGGCAGGGTGACATGAAAGCAGATGTTCTGCTGTGTTTTTACTTCTGCGTTGACAACACAAACATCAAATCAGCTCAGGCCCAATGGCCCCGTCCACATTTAATGCTGCCGTCTTCATTTCACATTCAGAACTGATTTTTTTCCAGCGGATGTAGGATCATGACCCTGTTTAAGCTTAATGTTGTCAGGGAAACCAAAAACAAATGATGCTGTTTTGGATCTGGGAGCACCATACAGAAAACAACTCTCTCCTCCACTTGTTGCTGTGGGCACAGGCACAAAATGACTTACCACTACTTGCCACTAAACCCTACCAACACCACCTTGGTTTTGTAACCACCGACTTAGTGCAACCCTCTTATTCGTCCATTAAAACGTAGAGAATTAGCTGGAAAGAGATTGTACTTTCAGAGGGTAGGAGGAAAGAATAGAATGTTCTTTTATAAGGACAGAAAGAAGAAAAACCCATGACATCAGGTGGTCAGCAGAGCAGTGAAGAACCTCATCTGATTCTGCACAATGTCTGCGCAGCCTTGAGTCGACTCCATTTCTACATTAATTCTATGTAGCCTCTGGGCTCTTCAGTTTGTAAGCCTTTTTTGTGACTCCTCAACCAATCTACACATCCAGCATCAACAAAAGGCTGCAGAACCAAGGCTGTATGGTAAAAGTGGAAGAGGACTCCTTACTTAAGAAGATTTTTTAGTTTGTAAAGAGGAAATTGGATAAGGTCCTTGTATTTAATAAACTCCCTTCTCTAGCTGTAGATATGACGTGCTCTTCACTGGCTGGAAATAAGACCTTTTTTTTAAGCAGAATAAAAAAATGTCAGAGATGATTGAGGAGAATTCATCGATTCAATTATTTATATACATATATTGAAACAAACAGCATAATGTCACACCTCAAATAAAGACGTGAGTTTTTTCTTTTGTCTGTCAGTGTTGACGATTGTATATGTCATGTAGGGAGAACCTTTCCATCTTCACCTTGAGAACAATCCGCCTCCTTCTTCGGAGAAGATGTGAAGGTCCAACGTCATCCATAATACCATCCATCAGTGATGCACACGTGTGATGTCACTGCGTGTTGTGGGGCTACCACAGCTGGGACACAGGATGTGATTGGCTCTTGCTGCTCCGACAGAGTTTTTGGACTGCGTTTGCGTCCGTAGGCAGGAGCGGCAGAGCAAATGAGTGCAGGTTAAACGGTAGATGGACGATGTCTGTGTGGAGTAGGCGGAGACGGAGCAGGAACAGGCCGAGCATGACTTCTCACCTGGAAGAAATACGTGAAATATTCAGGTTTGGAGAGTTTGGCAATGTACAACAGAGGACAACATCTGAGACCTTCTTAGTTCAGAAGGTGGAAAAAGTGGATACAATTGCACCGTAAAAGAAGAAGACCCTCTGGTTTGAATGTACAGGATAACATGTACACATGGACCACTCTAACACACACATACACACCCACGCACACACACACACACCAGCTATGGCCACTGAGATACTTTGCTTTAAAAAAAAAATATATAATATATAAAATATATTTTGTTTACATATTGTATATATTACATATACATATATACACTAATACATAAAATGTATATATATACATATATAGAGAGAGATATATATCCCAAATATATATCAATATGTATATATATGTGTACATAGAGTTAGAGGTTTTAGGTAAATTTTTAATTGACTGTAATTATTATCAATATTATTTATTTATTTCCAACAAAGGTAGCAGAAGTTAATTTTGTCAATAATAGTTCAGTACTTCTTCATAGTTACGGCACACTCAGCAAAACATTCTAGAATAATGTGCATAAAACATTCCATAAATGCAGTAATAAAGGATTTACTGTTCTTAGGGAAGGTATGATTTAATTTCCTAAACACTATGTTTCCATCTTTAGAAAGAGATAAATACAAAAACATGCCTATCTGAACATAAAACCGTATAAAGTCTTGTGTTAAGTCGTACTTGTTAGGATGTTGGAGGGGTCTGTTTTGTGGCAGAGTTGAGTAGAGTTCAGAGATTCAGAGACAGGAGTCAGTCTCTGCTGAGACAGGTTTGAGGTGAAGGAGGGTCGACCCTGCAGAGCCGAGGTGAGGGCTTCGTCTAGACTGGCTGACAAGCGCTCCTCGTGAGAGCTGCAGCTGGAGGCTTCAGAAAAACATGGACAACAGCAGTGACAGCAGTGACAGAGCAGCATTTTACCTTTGTAAGTACTGTACGTGTCATGATGTCCTTTTTTAAACACATAAGTAATTACTGGGGGCAACAATTTTAATTAATCAGAAATTAATCCTGAATCTTAATTCAAGATTCCTAAATATGACAAAACAATGGACACGAAAGAGAAATAACTGCAGGATTTGATATGTGTTTAATCCAAACGATGGAATTAATTTTTGCCTCATTGACAGTCATTACTGTGAATCTTGACTATGGCTGAGGTGCTGAAGGTGAAACAAAAATATATCATAAATAATAATGTTTTTTTATAGTAAAAACAAATTTTTATCTTAATAAATTTTTACTCACCAGGATCTGTGCTGTCATTTCTCGGTCTTTTCATCACGTGTTGTAGTCGTTGGTCTTCACTCTGTTTTTTCTTTTTAGATACTTCTGATTTATTTTCTCTAACAGGAGGCTGTAAGGAACTCTCATGATCCCCGTAAAATCTGGAGGGACCAGATTCACTTAGTTTTGAGTTTGAATCCCCAGAACCAACATTATTTCCGACAGCAGCACTAATGTGTGATCCTTTGCTGAGAACAGCAGAGTTGTGCGACTGTCCCTTGACCTCAGAGGCTACCAGTCTGGAGGCCTGTGGATCTTTTCCTTCTCCTTTTCTTCCCAACATGCCATCCCTCCTCACCTCTCCTCTCTGAAGGAGGAAGTGGTCAATACGGGTTTTCAGTGTGGGGTTAGGTAAAGGACGGGAGGCTGCAGAGAAGGGGACCCCTGTGAAGGGGTCACTTGGAGGTCGCCCCCATGTGGCTTCCCTTTTCTGGTACTCCTCTAAAGTACTGTTGTCCACAGACACACCACTAGGGAGCAGCATAGGCAACGTCATGACCTCCTGGGTTAACGGGTCCAGGAACTCTTCGGGCATGGAGACGCTGCTGTAGGTGGACAGAATCCACAAAGAACATTGAAATAATGAATAAAACTAGTAACATTTTATTCTTAAGTGTATGATAAGATGGAACACACACCTGTGGGATGTGGCTGCCTCAGTTGGTTCCTTCATTTGTCTGAGAGCAGGATGAAAAAGTACAGGTTGTGTCTGCCGTCTTTCACTGGCCTCAAGGACAGTTCTGATTCTTTCTATGTCTTCTGCTGGGCAGCAGCGAGCCGGTTGTCCCCAGACAGACAAAGCCTTGAAGCCCAGAGCAGATGCCGCACCACCAAAAGGTACGGTCACACGCAGTTGTGTAACTGCACCCAACGAGAGCAAACCCCTGTTCCACAGATCCTCCTGTCGACAGTTCAGAGGCTGTGGCGGAGGTGGGGACTGGAACGGGGGCCGGGCTCTGAAATGCGAATGCATAAAAGTGACCAGAGTTTCTTCTTTCAGCTCACATCGACCGACCAGTTTGAACTCTGGCTCAGCGGGGCTGGAGCCGACACTTGTTTGTGGCTGTTCTTTAGCGGTCCGTATGTGTCGACGCCCACTCTGTTCACCACACTGACTCTGCTTGACTAGAAGTGAATCAGAACAGGTGCTGATCTCCACACGTTTGCTGGCCTGACCGCGGTCCATTCCCCAGGGCCATAGCTCTACATCCACCCGACAGAGTTCCACCTGGAACCCGAACTTCAATGTCACCTGAGAAAATTAGTATTAAAAAGATTGACTCTATTAATGAACTTAAGTAAGCGTGAACTTTTAATTTAGTAAATATTGGGAGGATTCCTGTTGTTTGACAACATCACATTGGCACCATCAAAAATGTCACTTCAAAATGAATGTGCTTCTCCTTAGCATTTAGCCATAAAAACATAAAACACTATGGTACTTATAATACAATCATTAAACATAACTTTCATTAACATTAACTTGTGTGGCGCTTTGACCGAGAGGCAATGTCTCTGTCATAGGTGTGGAACCCCAGGGTTCACCTCCTGGGCAAGATCAAATCCCGATTAGGGCGGTTGGTACCTTCCAGTGGACTCACCACCTGCAGGAAGGTTCTGGGGGGTTGGTACGGTGCAGTGTGATTTGGGTGGCGACTGCTGCCCCCGCGACCCGGTAACGTAAACGCGGATGAAAATGGATGGACATTAACTTGTACCAGCTCTTAATGTCCAGTCCATGACTGCTGACCGTATATTTGCTGTCTTAGTCCGATACCAGGATACCATAGCTGAATCCATTAATGTTAGGAGAGCCTGTAAAGTGCTGTATAAATGAGGATGAGGATCTGAAGGAGAAAACTGTGTTGGACTGAGAGCCACGGAAGGCTGAAGAGATTTGTGAAGATGTGAAAGACTTTGGCTGCAGATCCCAGACTGGATTTCTTCACGGGAGAATATTGTAGGAAGTTTTAGGCAACAGAGTCAGGGAGTAATGGCCAGAGTCCAAAGATATAGAACAAGGCTGACTTTATGATACTATTTTTGTGACCCAAAGGAGAATGTGGAGTCCTGGATAATGGGTTAAAGCAACCGTCCGTCTCCAGGATGAGATCATTAACGTTCTGGTGAAGGGACTTGGCGTTCACAGACATAAACCTTGTTTTGTCACTTGTTTAAAATGTGACAGAAAGAGCAGACAGATACAGTAGATTGACTGAATAAGAATAAATAAAGAATAACTTAGATGTCATTAAGTAGGAGGTTGTCCATCATCCCATATGATTAAATGTACGGATAGACTAAACTAGGTGTTTAATTCTGTTTCACTGAAGGCTACACATAGCCACATCCATTTCTTATATACAGACTACATGTTAAACTGTGTTTTCTCACCTGCATCGGTGGACGTAAAAAATATTCCAACTTGAAGCCCCGCCTACGGAGAGCTGGGTCATCTGATACAAGGTTTGTGACATCATAGCCATCTGCACACAGCTGCAGTTAAAAAAAAGAACATAATGTTAAATGATAAAAAAACATTCACTGAGAAACTCAAACTGTTTGACAATTTCTTAGGTTGCAAAGATTGACTTTTTTTTTAAACTTTCTAAGTCCTTGGTATTGTTCAACAACCTTTTAAACACAGACAAGCACAGAAATTATACTAAAAAACTGTATTTCTACCAAACTTAACTATAATTTATATATGGCATAATACAGAAATTGTTTTCAAAAAAGCAAGGGGATAAAGGAGATTATATTGGTGGGAACTGTGAGTCAGAGAGAGGGCAGAAAATAAGTCTCTTGAATGAGGGAGGTGACCTTTTTGACACAAAAGGTGGAAGAAAAAAGCAGCCATGATCAGATTTGAAATTACCAACATAAAGAACATAACAAGGTCAGTTGTGATTCAGTCTCCCACACAGCACGTTGTCCCTCAGCAGCTTCTCTATTTTCACATCATTTCCCTCCTCCTTCTTTTGTACTTTTATCATTATGTGTCCCTTCACCTTGATTTTTCTGTTCTGTAACAGTTTCTAAACCTAAATTCTTAAGGAGTTAAGCAGAAAAACAAAATTAATGTAGCACAAGTAACACACAACTTGAGGGGGGAAGTATTTTTTGGTAATTATTTGTTTAATACCATAATTATTGAACAACACAGTCGATGTTTGCTAGTAAACAACCAGGAAAGCATTAAGGGGGAAAAAATCAAATAACTAAGGATAAAGTAATATATACTGAACAGGGCAATTTAAATGAAATCACACCTTGTTGCAATGAACGGTCGTAGAAAACTGTGGCAAACATAGATTCAGAACCATGTTCTTCAGCCTGCTAAAAGGACACACACAGAGGTCAAGGCAAAAAGCAAACTAGTAACAGCAATTGTGTTAAAGACCTATTGGCTTACAACAACAGTGACGTCCTGAGAAACTGACCTTCACAGGCTGATGGGTTCATTCAATGTTTTCAATAGTGAGTTAAAGTGGCTTAATTCCTGAAGTGCTTCATTGATAGAAACCTTCCTCCTCTGGTCAGCTGTTTAAGAAAAGAGTGGGTGGATTTATGTCAATCTAAAAAAGAATATATTCAGAATCTATATAATATAGAGAGAAAAATGCAGATTTAAAGATTAATTAAGTAAAAAAAAAGTGTCTGTTTTTGCAATACTGGTATTAACTGTTTGATTCTAAACCGACTGAAAATGTGCAAACTTTTTACAAGTATTAACCACAATTAATTAAGTAAAAATATAAGAGTTAATACAACAAATATGATTCTTATATATTTTATGCTGCTCATACAGAACACATCAGGTTCCACAATTATATATGCAAAAAAAATCATGCCTTATAGACATAATAACACTGGTTTTATGCACAATCTCTTTGACCAAGATAAAAACATTGTTCATGTGAACAAGTAATACATTTAAGTCAGTCAGTTAAAATCACTCTCTGGCTGTCGAACTACAGCGCAGAGCTCCGTGTTTAAGTGTTAACTACCAAATAATCTACATCACAAAACATAATTTTGCCATAGATTTATTGAAACAATTAACAAGGTACTAAAACATATGACAACATCTAAGCTAAGCTAATCATGTCAATCTCTAGCTACAGGGCAGCCCAGCATCCTTTTAGTTACATTACTGATACCGTAAAGATGCTTCTTTAACTCATAAAATACCGCTGCCAACCGCATGCTTCAAAGTATTTCTGCTGGTGATGGAACTAATGTAGATTTCATGGTAATATCTCTTTTGTTTTATTTTTATGTAAATTATTCTGTTGGTAAAGAGGGATGAAATAAATAATAGGAAGATACATGGAAGAAGATGCAAACAAACAAAACACAATAGATTTATAGATGTCACTGTACATGCTACCGTTAATTATTCAACGAAATTCATACTAAACACTGCAATTATTGATTTATTAGAGCTCAACAACCGGAAAGGGAAAAATGTCGATTCTGGTCACTTTAGAAGCCAAACAAGTAAAAAAACAATCGACATTTTTAAGATCCCAAATGATAAACTAACTCTTTCTAGTTCTGATTATAAAATAAAAAGCCCCTTAGAATTAGCTACTTTACTACAGATAAAACTGTTACAGTAAGGCAAGTGAATTTATAATTTAATAATGTGAAAGAATTACAGAATACATTCTCAATAAGTTGGTAGTAAAAACAAACATTTAATTTACCGTGTTGATGTACATCTGGGACTGATGGTAATGGAAACGTTGTGCGTCACATATAAATGCCCGTAAAAAACAAACGCTAACAAAAGTTATTAGTTCCGGCTATTTCAGCGTCTTCTCACTAATTGTTGACGGCTAGATAGACCGTGTTTTTCGACACAAAAATACTCTTAGCAGTATTTTTGAGGATTTTTGATGATGTATGTTTAAATATTTAAACCAGCTAGGAACTAGAAGGTTACGACTACGGAAGTCGAAAAGACAAGCATTTTTCGAAAAATTTTCGATTTGCGAAATTCTACAGGAGGAAACAAGCATACAATCCAAAATAAACACGATTAAACAAATGCATTTTTAAAAAATATTTTCCTAGTATCCTAGTATACTAATCTTTTGGTGATAGGGTTAACATTTAGTTTTTTGTTTTCTTAAAAATTGAGACGGGTAAGAGAATTTTATATTAACATTGTCCACTTATTGTTACAGATTATTGTTACCTTTATACGTCCCACGAATTAAAACTAACATAAGATTCCTGTGATGCTCTGTAATTCCTATGACCTTTGCAGTAAATAGCAAGAAAAATAAATCTGTTATCTATTTAATGATTTAAATGTACATAGTTAGCTTTTCGTCAAAGGAACAAATCAAATAAGCTGGTTTTTATTTTCTCGGTGCGGGGTACACTTATTTACCCACTGTGTGCATATTATTCCCATTAAGTTTCGCAGTGGAAACCATGATTATCAAAGATGTTTATCGTATAGTATGTCAGTGTAAACAATGTATTTCCACCAAACTTTAAACAGTGCTTTGCTCAAAGATGAGGGCGAAATAATTCACATATCTTTATTAGTTCTGCTCAGTTTTACAAAGGGGTGGTTCAACTCAACAGCCAGAACAGTACTACTAACATAAAAGCAAACAATAAAATCGAAGTATGTATAAAATTTGTAGTATTTTGTTTTTCTCAACAATGCATGACTGCAACTACATTTATCACCTACATCAAAAGGAACAACTTTTTTTTTTTTTTTTTGGACTGGATTGCTATGATTGCACCATTATGGTAGGCTGGTAGGCTATCTACACAATTAAAAAACACACAAAGTAAAGCTCGAATGGCACATATTTTCATATTTCACCATTAATATAATAACAGTAATAAAGATGATGATAATAATATATAATACCTTAGCGATAAGTTAATATTCTTGAGCAACATCTTTGTATGCTGGCATAAACAACACATAGAAAAGCCATGATATTCACATCTGAGTTGACTGTACATCATAACTCATGTGTAGAACACCACATAGTGCAGTTAGTCTGAATGCTTTCAACGTCTCTGCTTTTTTTTTCTTTTAAAATTATTTTTTTCACCTGTCTAAAACATACTATACAGAAGAAAGTACAGTTGTCCAACATATACAGACTTGTCCAGTGTGAAATTTCAGTCTTACCGCCCTTATGTCAAGCTTTGATATACATTATCCTGTATTTAAAGTATATTATTTTCTTTTTTTAATATATTTCCACTATTGCAACTAGTCCCTCTATCCTCAATCTCATACGCTGATGCTGTTCGTACACACACATGCACACACACCTTTTTGCACACACACGCTCTCTCGTCCACACATTTACAATCTATAACTATAATATTAATTTCTTCAGTGTATTATACATTCTATAAAATTAATTTTATTTTTAACTTTGGGCAGACTGACTGCTTTCTTGGCTGTGAATGCAAAGAGCGGCGGACACAATTATCATAATAGTTAAATTCAAATTGTGTGCTTCCGTTCACATCCTCCTGCAGTCTAAGTGTGTGAAAAGCGCCGAGGAGAAACACTCTAATGACCTCTAGCGTACATTTTTAGCCACAGCAGGCAACCTGCAGGGAAGGCGAACCAGGTTCTCGCGGGGCTGATTATCTGCTAAACATATTTAATTTATTTTGTACAAAATATAAACTCTCTTGGTCTTGATATTTAAATGGGTCATGCATAATGGACCCGGTGCATGAAACAACCTACAGGTGAATTCAAACATGTAGGAAGTTATATATATATATATATATATATATATATACATGCATACATACATATATACATATATATTTATATACATATATATGTGTGTGTGTGTATGTGTGTATATATATATATATATTAAAGCACTCAAAATGACAATTGTACTCTTGATTTTTTTTTCTCACATATTCCCAGTATTACTGTTTTCTTATACATGCCAGAATGAATGAATGGAGTAAGGCGCTCTCTGGCCAAAGATGCAAGATAATATCACACACTCTAACCACTAATTCTACTTTCACATTACCAGTGTCACAGACTTACAAAGAATAAATACCGCATATTAATTTTGTTGATCATTTCTGACAATATCCCTGATTGTCTTGGTCCTTTTCTATCGTGGGACATGAAATGACCCGTTTATTAGTGCTGTTGTCATTTAATGTTTGAACTGCTATGCCTCAGTGTGGCACACTTCTCATGATAAAACTGTGTGCAACAAGTAAAAAAAACCCTGAAAAATTCTCTGATAAACTGAGTTTTTTCAGACGATCTGGTTGTAAATGCTGGATTTTACTGTGAGCTTTTGTTGCTATTAGAATTCAGTGAAAAGTATGTCAGACTGACTGATTTATTCTATTGAAGGCTGAAATGTTTTTTTCTTCTACGCTAATGATTTTTATTATTTATTTTATGAGAGGCCTTATTGCTGAATGTATTAAAATGTGAGCTGTTTTTTTTTGTAATAGTTTCATGAACATTACTATATCTCAGTGGACTCTATCCTCTCCAGACGAGAGGGTCCGGCCCAGGGTGGGGCAAGCTGGTGGAGGGAAGGAGGAGTCTTCTGGTCTTCGATCGGTGGAGACAGGGTGAGGGCAATTGGGCCAGAAATAGAGGGTGGGCTCTGAGGAGACAGGGGTGTTAGGACCTGTGGGGGTGGTGGAGAACTGGAGGATGTGGGGGAGGTGGTGGTGGTGGTGGTCGTGATAGTGGTGATGGGGGAGGTTGTAGTGGGTTTGGCTCCCAACTGACTCATTCTTTTTTCCAAAGCCTGGTTCTTCTGCAGCGTTTCCACGTAGCTGAGCTGCAGCTGCGCCTGGTATTTTAAAACCCGCTCCTTCTCGTCCTGCCAAGTGTGTCGCTCCTGGTCAAAATTGAGGGCCTGACGCTCCCTCTGCTGACGCTCCAAGCGTAATGCAGCCTGTAGCTGCTCCAGCTGCCTGCGCAACTCTCCTGACTCATCCCAGTGACCATCCTGCGCCCTCTGTGGCTGTTGGGCCTCCTGACGCAGTTGTGCCTCCTGGCAGAGTTGCACTTCGTGCCGTAGCTGGGCCTCTTGCCGCATTTGGGCCTCATGGCGGAGCTGTGCCTCCTGTCGAAGATGCGCCTCCTGACGGAGCTGCGCATCCTGACGCAGCTGTGCTTCTTGGCGTAGTTGGGCCTCTTGACGAATTTGGGCTTCGTGACGGAGGTGAGCCTCCTGACGGATTTGGGCCTCCTGGCGGAGTTGAGCCTCAGGTCGAAGCTGAGCATCCTGACGCATTTGGATGTCCTGCTGCACGTCACGCCACTGAGCTTCTTCTCGCTGCTGCCTCTCCTGTCTCTGAGCCTCCTGCCTTTGGGCTTTGGCTTCATCACTCTGAAGGCTTAGCAGGGTGTCAGAGGTGGGGGTGAGGGAGTTAGTGGAAGGCTCAGTGGGGTTGCGTGGGCAGTGCACAGCTCCCCAGGGGGGCAGGAGTCCAGCAGCAGCTAAGTTAGGGCTCATTACAACTTCTGCTCCTCTGCTCACTTCACTCAGAGCTCGCTTTAAACTGAGCACCTCTGCTTCAAACACTCCCATCTTCTCTCTGAGGATGGACACCTGAGGAAAGGAAAGGACGTGGGTGGTGAGAAAAGACACAGTTGAGACAGAGAAAGTTGCAGCTCAATTTGCTGTGGATGTGCTGTGTTGAAATGTATGAACTAGAAGAGACGTTGTTATAAGAAAACAGATAACATGACAAAATAACCACAGGAAAACTGTTCAGTTAAATGTATATATATGTATATTAAAAAAATCAAAAATATCAATATATTGAAATATTGCAATATTTCATTTCACAATACTGTATTGATATTCTACAGCACTTTATTGATTTTTTTTATTAATAATAAACCTGCTATGTTCCAATTTTAGTAACCTGATGTTAAGCATGTAACAACAGCATTCTATGTTTACTATGGTGAAGTTTTCCAACAATTAATTGTTTGAAAAAAACTCAATATATTGTCGTGCCGCAGTATACCAAAATATATCGTATCAATGCCCCTGTATTGTAATACATATCGTGCTTTATCGCCAGATTCTTGCCAATACACACCCCATCATACAGTATATGGAAACATACACAATTATATATAGACCATTGTTCCCTGTATGAGCTTAAAGGAACATTTCAGACAATTTTAGTTCATTTGTTTTTGGTCAAGTTGGATTGTAGCACACAAACAGCTCGATCTGTGCTTCATTTATCATTAGATTAATAACAGATTATTATGAATGAAACTTCAGACTAACCTCAGACAGAGTCCTCCTGAGTTCCCCCTCACACTTCTCCAGCTCCACACTCTTGGTGCTGTAGGAGTCCTTTAGACCCAGCATGGCCTCCTCACGGTCCCTCAGCTGGGCGTTCAGCTCCTTCAGTTGCCCTCTCAGGGCCACCATCTCTCCAGCTCTTTGGGTCACTTCAGCCTGACTCTCCCTCAGCTGTTGTTTGAGGAGTGAGATTTCACCCGCCTTCTGACACACCTGAGAAGAAAGCGAGGACACCGGTGATGTTCTGTCGTCACAGGGTAAATAGATTTGAGGTGCAAGAGAAAGACTTGTTGTTCCATCACCATCACTTCAATCTCACCTCCCATTTAGTCTCTTCAAGCCGAGGCAAAATGTCAGCCTGCTCCTTCCTGTAGTCCAGACACTTCCTCTCCAGCTCCTCCCTCTGGGCCAGCAGAGCTGCGATCTCCTCCTGGAGCCTCCTCTTGTCCTGGGACAGACGGGAAATCTGGGCCTGCAGTGCTGTCTGAGAGCGCTGGGCACGTCTGGTAACCTGCAATGGAATGATCACAAGTGTGGTCTGATTTTTAAGATTCTTTACTCTCTACATTCTGACGCCTTTTAATGCTTATAACTTGGTTCCATTTGGTTAGAGGTATAGAGGTGAGGTCACCTGCTGCAGGCGTGAAGCGTAGTTCTGCCTCAGCTCGTCCATCTGTCGTTCCCAGACACGCTGCTTTTCCTCAAACACCTGAATGATGGCTGCCTCACTTTGGTCCAGGTTCCTGCGCATATGCTGCACCTGAGAGAACATCAGTGGACTGTTGGTCCATCCATCCATCCATTTTCATCCGCTTATCCGTTACCGGGTCGCGGGGACAGCAGTCGCCACCCAAATCACATTGCACCGTACCAACCCCCCCAAACCTTCCTGCGGGTGGTGAGTCCACTGGAAGGTACTGGACTGTTGGTCTTTTGTAGTAAACAGGTGGAGCTGTTCTAAAAGAAATAACTGAGGGGAAATAATTGCTTCTGTATATACTGTATATATATAACATTAAGAACAAGATAAAAAAAAAAACAGCTGAGAAGAAGAATAATGATACTCCTGTATAATTCTGCTGTGAAACCATTACTATCTGCATTATACTTTATTGGTTTGTAAAATTATTTTTTGGGAACAGTTGTTGTTTTCACCTAGCATCCAAAATGTTTAAATTCAAAAGAGTTTAAAAGGAAAATTCACTCCAAATGTGGACGAACAAAAAAAAAGTTTTACGTGAACAGACAAAAAAGACGGAATAGTTATTTTTGCTGAATTTATAATTGGTCTCTGACCTCCTGCTCCTTCTCCCACAAGCGATCTTCCAGGTCCTGGATGATGTCATCAGAGGAGGGGGAAGGCCGTAGGGGTGCAGGAGCATCACTGAGGTGGCTGAGCCTCTGGTAGGACGAGGAGCTCTTACCTGAGGAGGATCGTCCGCTGTCTGAGGTGCTGAGTCCATTCTGGAGGGATGATCCATACAGTAACTCATTACTCTCACTAATGAGAACAGCGACACCTATTGAGTAGATGATTAAAGCGTGTGAGTGTAGATGGTGGTCAAACCTGATAGCCAGGCTTCTCCAGCTTGTCAAGGCCTGCAGCTGCTCCAGCCATTCCCAACCTGTTGATGTGGCTGGTGGAAGCACTCAGAGGCCCCAGGACAGCTGGAGGGCCACAACCGGACCCAGAGCCTGTGTAGGTTGGCAAGCTAGTCAGGGAGTTTCTACCTGAATCGGACATCCCTCCCTGAACCACTTCATTACCATTCCCCCCGGCTTCACTCCTGCTGACCCTCACTGGGCTGTCCTGGTCCAGGAGCAGGGCCTCCGGAACCTCTCCTGATTCTACTCCTCCTCCTCCACCTCCTCCGTCCCTGCCTCTCCTGCCACCTCGGCTGTCGCTGTATCCCTCACTCCTCGACTCATTCTTGCCCTCGTTCCCTGCTCCTCCAGCCTGGCCCACCAGGTTTTGCATGGAGTGGAAGCTCTTGGGAACCACCGGCTTGAAGGCAGAGGGACGGACGAGGCCTGAGTTGCTCTGCATTGCCTGGGACAAAAGGTAGTGGAAACAAAGACGAGCACGGGGGTTAAGGGACACCACAGCATGCAAAAACATGCAGTATGTTAATCAGTTGTCCAATACAGTTTAGGTACACTAATTATAGCAAAGATTACACTCTGAATTGAAGGCAAGACATCAGGTTTTCTTGTCTTTTGTTCAGCAACAAATTAAGTTAAAGCCAATATTTACAAATGATCTGAAGAAACAAACAGTGTTAAATGACAAAATGAATGTTAGTATTTATACCAAAAATTGGAACCATGCAAAATTCATGAACCAGTCCAAGCTGTAGAAAGGTGTGAAACACATCCTGTAACATTTTCTTGCTTAATTAGAGCAAAGTTTGAAATAGTGTGAAGTTGGTACACTTCAGGAAAATGCAGGAAATGGAGCTTGGGTTTCATTGTCAAACATTCATTTTACATAAACAAACAGAAACTGAAGTCTGCAGCACTTTCTAAATCAAACAGAGTGGACAAATTATTACAAAACCTAATTAAAAAGAACAATATTTTTTGATCACTTTTGATGTATTAAAGATTTATTTAAGCCTGACTACAGTTTACAGTCACCACTGCTTTTCATGACGCACCAGGCATTTCTAATAAGTCACATATCTGGACTACAGGCAGGGCAGTCTAACTGTTCTAAGTCTACACAACCAGTTGTTGAAAATAAAGTCCTTTTCTAGCAGAAGATCCCAAAGATGTAAATATGTCTTAACAAATTAAACTAAAATTCAACACGTCAGTGATACCTTACATATACGGAATACTCCTTGTCTCTTATCCAGTTACTGTACAAATGTGGACTTGAATATTTGGTTGAGGAATCCAAACGTACATCTTTTTTGTACCATTTTTTCTTTCACAAAAATGGTAAAACATGGACTCATTCTGTTCTATAACATCTAATGCAGTGGATTTGAATGAATGAAAATGATTGATGATCGTGGCAGCATGATGTTATTTTTTCAAATGTAAAATACTGTAGAAAAACATGAAGCAACTTTTTGCTCCTTTCTGTTTTTTGCATTCTCGTCTGATTCCCTGTGAATTTTCACAATTTAATTCTTCGTACACTGATCACTGCTTTTTTAAAACTATTATTTAGGGACAATTGTCTCGTAAAGTTGATCACAAAGAGGTGAGTGATCATTTATCTGGTTGCTCTTTTTAAACTAATTTTAAATATGCAAACCATTCTGATCTTTTTAGCTTGACTGCAGTGTTCCAACTATTTTGGAGTGTGTTTGCAGCGTCTTTATAACCCCATGTAATTAATCTTTTTGTCATTTAAACAAACCTTCTCGTAAACAAAACCCCAAAAACCTATAAATTATGATTATTACATTTAAGAAAGTGTACCACCTGTCTTAAAAAAATCTGTCATTATTTTCCTGCATTAAAAAAATAAATTAAAAAAGCAAATTTTGCAAAGCTGTATGTTGGAGATCTTTTTAAGACCTATAAGAGGACAAAAAATGCCCCAGGGGTGACTACTTGAACCACATTCCCGTATCCCGTGAAGTACCTGCTCCAGTTTTCCTGACACTGGCATGATCTTGGGTGGGTTGTGGTTTGGAGGGTTATGGCTGCCGGGGTTGTTCTCACTGTCAGCTCTGGTCGCTGCCATCTCTCTGTGCTGGTGTGGATTCATGACAATGCTGCTCTTCTCGTTGGCTCCTCGGCCACCGATGTTCCCGCAAACG